CCAACACCCGTATCACAGGCCTACAGTGATTCCAGCACACAGGTCCTACAGTGGCAATCCCATTAGCAGTTTCTATCCCAGCCCCACAGTTAATTCAGCACCAGCCCCACAGTGGCTATCAAAGACGCAGGCAAAATCCCTAAGCCGTTTCAGCTCCCCTGCTACGGTCCCATTATTTTGCCCCTACCCATCTTGTTCTATTTCCAGTCACAGGACCCAGCCCCAACATCCATATCCCAGGCCTACAGTGATTCCAGCACACAGATCCTACAGTGGCTATGTCATTGTCAGTCCCTATCCCAGCCCCACAGTGATTTCAGCTCTTGGCCCACAAGCTTTATTTCACTGCAAGCTCTTCTTCCGGCTCCAGATGCGTGTTTCTTCAGTGCTGCTGGCTGAAACTTCTCCAGGTACAAGGCGCAGGATCTTCCTCCTGTCTCCAGCTCGGCAACATTTCAGCTCCCACCCTAGGGCCTAGAAGCCCACCCCACAGTCAATGTCCCCGCCCCACTGTGAATTCAGCACCAGCGCTACAGTGCCTATCAAAGACGCAGGCAAAACCCTGGCACTGCCTGCATCTCAGCTCCCATGTTACGGTCCAATTATTTTGCCCCGACCCATCTTGTTCTATTTCCAATCACAGGACCCAGCCCCAACATCCATATCACAGGCCTACAGTGATTCCAGCACACAGATCCTACAGTGGCTATGACATTGTTAGTCCCTATCCCAGCCCACAGTGATTTCAGCTCTTGCCCTGGAGAGCCCTTTCCCAGCCCCAGTGATTTCAGCTCTTGGCCCACAAGCTTTATTTCACTGCATGCTCTCTTCTTCCAGCTCCAGATGCGTGTTTCTTCAATGCTGCTGGCTGAAACTTCTCCAGGTACAAGGCGCAGGATCTTCCTCCTGTCTCCAGCTCTGCAAAATTTCAGCTCCCACCCTAGGGCTTATAAACCGTCCCCACAGTCACTATCCCAGCCCCACAGTGATTTCAGCGCCAGCCCTAGAATGCCTTCCCTGCCCATTGATTTCAACGCCAGCCCTGGAGAGCCCTTCCCAGCCCCAGCGATTTCAGCTCTTGGCCCACAAGATTTATTTCACTCCAAGCTCTCTTCTTCCAGCTGCAGATACATGTTTCTCCAACGTTGCTGCCTCAAACTTCCACAGGATCTAGAGCAGGATCTTCCTCCTGTCTCCAGCTCTGCAACATTTCAACTCCCACCCTAGGTCCTAAAGGCCCACCCCACAGTCAATATCCCAGGCCCACTGTGAATTCAGCACTAGTCCTACAGTGCTTATTACAGACGCAGGCAAAATCCCGACTCTGCCAGTGTTTCAGCTCCCATGTTACGGTCCCTTTTTTCTGGCCCTACCCATGTTGTTCTATTTCCATTCAAAGGACCCAGCCACAACATCCATCATCACAGGCCTACAGTGATTCCAGCACACACATCATCACAGGCCTACAGTGATTCCAGCACACAAATCCTACAGAGGCAATCCCATTAGCAGTCCCTATCGCAGCCCCATAATGAATTCAGCACCAGCCCTAGAGTGGCAATCACAGATGTAGGCAAAATCCCAGCAATGCCAGAGTTTCAGGTCCCATGCTCCAGTCCCATTTTTTTGGGCCTACCCATCTTGTTCTATTTCCAGTCACAGGACCCAGCCCCAACATCCATATCACAGGCCTACAGTGATTCCTGCACACAGACCCTACAGTGGCAATCCCATTATCAGTCCCTATCCCAGCCCACAGTGATTACAGCGCCAGCCTTGGAGAGCCCTTCCCTGCCCCAGTGATTTCACCTCTTGGCCCACAAGCTTTATTTCACTGCAAGCTCTCTTCTTCCAGCTCCAGATGCGTGTTTCTCCATCGCTGCTAGTTGAAACTTCCCCAGGTTCAAGGAGCAGGATGTTCCTACTGTCTCCAGCTCGGCAACATTTCAGCTCCCACCCTAGGGCCTAGAAGCCCACCCCACAGTCAATATCCCAGACCCACAGTGATTTCAGCAGCAGCCCTACAGTGGCTATCAAAGACACAGGCAAAATACCAGAACTGCCAGAGGTTGAGGGGCCCTGTTACATACCCATTTTTTTGCCCCTACCCATCTTGTTCTATTTCCAGTCACAGGACCCAGCCCCAACATCCATATCCTAGGCCTACAGTGATTCCAGCACACAGATCCTACAGTGACAATCCCATTATCGGTCCCTAAACCAGCTCCAGCCCTGGAGTGCCCTTTCCCAGCCCCAGTGATTTCAGCTCTTGGCCCACAAGCTTTATTTCACTCCAAGCTCTCTTCTTGCTGCATCACATGTGTGCTTCTCGAACGCTGCTGCCTGCAACTTCCCCAGGTTCAAGGAGCAGGATGTTCCTCCTGGCTCCAGCTCTGCAACATTTCAGCTCCCACCCTAGTGCTTATAAGCCGTCCCCATAGTCAATATCCCAGCCCCACAGTGATTTCAGCGCCAGCCCTAGAATGCCTTCCCAGCCCCACAGTGATTTCAGCTCTAGCCCTGGAGAGCCCTTCCCCGCCCCAGTGATTTCAGCTCTTGGCCCACAAGCTTTATTTCACAGCATGCTCTCTTCTTCCAGCTCCAGATGCGTGTTTCTTCAATGCTTCGGGCTGAAACTTCTCCAGGTACAAGGCGCAGGATCTTCCTCCTGTCTCCAGCTCGGCAACATTTCAGCTCCCACCCTAGGGCCTAGAAGCCCACCCAAAAGTCAATGTCCCCGCCCCACTGTGAATTCAGCACCAGCGCTACAGTGGCTATCAAAGACGCAGGCAAAATCCCTAACCCGTTTCAGCTCCCCTGTTACAGTCCAATTATTTTGCCCCTACCCATCTTGTTCTATTTCCAGTCACAGGACCCAGCCCCAACATCC